GGGCACGGGGGCATGGACCGGTTCTGGGCACGGGGACAGGGACTGGGGAGGAGGCACAACTTAAGCCGTTTTTCCATTTGAAGGCCACCTGGATTTCGGGGTCAGCCAACTCCAGACTCCCAAGGGTATGGAGTACAGAGTGTTCCTTCTTTGCACACCTATTGTTTGTATAGGGAAAAATTCAAACAAAATGTCCGTCCATTGGGGACCGGTTCAAACTAAAGAGTATACCCATGCAAACAACAGTAGAGCTGTTTTTTAACAAGTTCTTTATGGATAGGCAATCTCTAAGATCTGTTCCATAACCGAAACCATGGAGACACAAAACAGTACATTGAGTCTGCCATCATTTGTGTGAACAGCGGTGAAGCACACGCACATCTTTGCTGGTGGGCAGAGGGGTTTACAGAAGGATAAAAACAACATGGGAATGCTGGTTGCCCCTGAAAATCCACGGTCAGGGAGGCACAAGGTCGGCTGGCCCTGGGCTGTCCTCGCCTCCAAGGTCCCTTCCGGACTCACGGCCCTCGTGCTGTGCCCGCTGCAGCGCCTGAAGGAGAGGCGCTTCGTCCTTGCTCACCAGTGAATCTTTGCTCAGTGCGCCACACACAGTGGGCACTCGATAAATGTTCACTCAACGCACCAACCCTGGGGTAGGCTTGACAATGAGCTTGTGTCCCACACCTGCCTTCAGTAGCAGACAGCCTGATGACACAGGTGTTCCTTTGAGATCAAGCACCTGCTGACCTGGAACCTCAGAGGGCAGAGGCAGCAGGAACATGAAATGCACTGGTACCTCCCCACACCCTTGGGCAGGAACAAGGCAAACTGAGGAAAGAAATAGACCGTTTATTCTTCACTGGAAACATCACATGCACTTTTAAAAATTTAAACTCTTTATTTAAACATTTCAATAGCATCTTATCAATTTGGTGGCAGCAAAAGAAGAACTACCAAAGACAAGTATTTTGAAAAGCATTTACAAAAATACCGTGCACAAAGTCCTATTCTGCATCTTTAAAAATAAATATTCAAAATATTTCCACCCAACTCCCAAATTTAGTTTTATATAGGAAATTTTGATTTATATATTTATCCTGTAATATCTGAAACATCTGTATACATTTTATCCAACTTAACTGCATAGGCATTTATTTAGTTCCAATTCTAAGAGTGAAAAAATGCTACTTTATGTAGTCGAGGACAGTTGTGCAGTACACATAAAACCCCAGGCAGCACCATCACTTTCTGTTTCCGAAAATACAGTGTTTGTGAGAACACCGAAAGACTCTTAGCCCAATAAAACTTAAATAATTTTTAAAACATCTGTAACACTTTAAGTGCCTTGCAAATATCTCATTTATAAAGTCTGCTCAGTAAAATAGTCTAAATATTAAATATTAATTATAAACGAGTCTCCTAGGAATTGAGAATGGCCGACAGTTGTAGTAAGAGGCAAATCCCAACTAGAGCCAGGAAGAAAGTGCCGCCATAAGAAAAATTATAAACCACATTCATCATTACAATGTAATGATGAATTTGCCGCACTGGACAGTCTCCTTGGAGAACCATCAGTAGAGTAAAAACTGAAGATCCTGAAAGACTGGCAGCACATTAGTGTTCAACTTTGCAGCAAAATTTAAAACACAACCTGATGACATCCCCAAGGTTGGATTTCTGGGATCCTATGAACACTGTGAGGTCCAACTCCAGGGTGGCCCCCCAATGGGCGGAGCCTCGCTGAGACCTGAGCGCTCCATTTAGGCGTTGGCTGAGATCCAGACCACCACCCCCTTTCAAATCAGACCCACTTCAAGCCCACGACAAAACGAATCACCCTGGATCCTGAACAGAAACAACACACCCAGGCCTGACTGTGAAAGTCTTTCTCAGAAGCAGGAGCAAATAAAGTAGAGAAACAGTTATTTCCCCCACCTGGCAACTTACGTTAACTACTGGTGCTGAAGAAAGGAGAAACCCTCTCCTA